TAATTATCGTGTATTTTTTCTATCTGTAGTGTGGTTTTTTAATTAATGTTATTTTTAATATTATTTTAGATTTTTTTTTTGTTTTAAATTAGCAAAGATTTATTTTTAAATAAAAAAATGCTATATTTTATTTTATTTTATATTTTTTAATTTAATTAAATGATGTGGCAAGTGTGTTGGAAAATATATGATTTCTATTTGTTGTGGGTTGGGAAAGATGAAAGTGGGAGAATAGAAAAAAACTGATGTGGTAGTGGGTTGAGTGAGTTGAAAGGGAAAGACTCCCTCCTCCCTAAAAGAATAGATAAACATCACATTGAAAAAGAAACATATCATTACAAAATATCACTAAAATATCAACAATATATATCAACATATACATAATGTAATGCTTTATATATATGGACACTAAGTAACTAGGATAATATGAATATCACATCAGATCAGTACAAAAGGTAGCTAGCCTCACATGCACTAGGGCCGACTCAATCAGTTTGGGGCTCTAATCGAACCAAAAATTTAGAGTCTTTTGACATTTAGTATATTTAATGTTATAAACACTCATCTTTTATCCGGACTTTGAGACCGACAATAATAAATAAAAAATTTACAAATGATGGGTTATTATTTTTTATTATTTTTATTATTTTTATCGTATATGTTTGTTGTGAATATATTTTATGACATAAAGTTAGTTTTTCTAGCATTTTTAGATGTAAATTCTTTAATGAAAATTTTATTAAATGTTTTTCAGACAAAATAGCTAATCCATTTAATATTTCTTGTGACATTGTAGATTTAAAAAAAAAAATAACAGTTTTAATTTAGAAAAACTTCTTTCTGCAGAGACAACGATTACATGAATAGTTAACATAATCGTATAGGCAAGATATGCATTTGGAAAGAACCAAACTTTTTAATGTAATTAAGTATAGTAATAATTATATCATCTTCTAAATGTACAATGTCTTGTAAAAGTTTTAGCTCATGAAATAAATTTAAACCTTCAATATCTAAGCTATCATCATGCTATAAAGATTTTTCAAGATTTAAACAATATTCTTTTAAAGTATTTTCATCAAGTGATTTTAATTTTTCTATACTAAATAGAATACCAAAAATATTTTTGAACTCGTTAAATTGCTCAAATCTATTTTTAAGTCAAGTAATCACTTTAAATACTATATATAAAATGTAATCATTTTTAAATAATTGAAGATAAGTTTTAATAGTTTCATTAGCAACATTTTCCTCATATCGTCTGTTTCTTTGAATGATACGTTTTCAGGAAATTTAGGTTTTACGTTCATTTCTAAAGCTAATTCTCTTGTATAGTCTAAAGCCTTTTCAAATCCGTTTTCTCTATATTCTTCAAAGAAATACAAAAGTCCATTTAGTTGATCTATAACATCATTGATACACATATCACTTGATTGCAAGCTTTTACTATCAGTTTTAATAGCAAACAAAATATCGTACCAAATAATCATTCCTAATAAAAATTCATAGTTTTTAAGTTCATACGTAGCTATACATTTAGTTCCACTTTTAATTTTTGGATCTCCACAATTTTTGGATAATTGTAAAAGTGCTTTTCTTAATTGTGGTGCTTGAAATCTAATTGCTTTTATACTTTGTACCCTACTTTCCCAACGATTTTGTGATAATGATTTAAGTGTTAGGTTTGATATATTATCTTCCTTACCTAACGCGTTGCGCTCTTCCATGAGAACGCCCTACGTACCGAGGCTTCAACATATAAAAGGAGGTGCGAGGCAACCCTTATTATTCACACTTTAAACTTATTCGTTCTCTCTATACTCTCTCTCTCTCTCTCTCTAAACCTCCCAAACACCCCCAAGCCTAGGAAACCTCCCTAACACTAGAAGAAAGCCCCAGAGCGCCCGAAGGCTTTGAGAAAAAGGTTTTTTAATTTGGAACCCTGCCTCCGCAGAGCCTGGTTTTCAAGCAAACCTCCCAGTTTCGTCAAAGCGAAGCGCTGGCCAAGTTGGAATCACCGCCATATCAGGTGAGTACATAGTTACTTTCATCTTACACATAGATATGGAATATTTTATATAAATTACGTGCTATGTGTGCATATTATCTGCTTGTCTTGCGATATATGTTAGATGAAAGATTTAAACTTTTTCAGATCTAAACTGTATATGTATTTTATATCCTGAGTTCTATGTTGGATGAAAGATTTAAACTTTGTTTTTTAGATCTAAATTGTATATGTATTTTAGATCCTGAGATCTATGTTGGACTTATAATACCCAAATCATGTTTGTTTGTTGCAAAGATCTCTATACAACCTTAAACAAGCCCCACACGCATGGTTTCAGGGCTTTGCTTAGTTTGTTTGCAGGATTAGGTTCACGAACAGTTGATGTGATTCTTCATTATTCATTTACCAACATGGGCATCATAGGACATGTCACTTACTTTATGTTGTTTGACAACCTCCTCTATATGCCTTCTATACTAGATCATTGCTACCTTAAGTACTGGGTTTTCTATGACTAATTTTAGGGGCCTTAACTCTTTATTGGGTATTAAGGTTACTCGAGATAACACGGGTATGTTTTTATCTTAACAAAAGTATGCATTAAATATTCTTGAACGTGCAAACATGATGAATTGTAAACCATCTTGGACACCGGCGGATACATCTGCGAAACTTGACCCATCTGGAACTCCTTTTGCTAATCCCACTTTATATAGAAGCCTTGTAGGGGCTCTCCAATACCTCACTTCACCAAACCAGACATTGCCTGTGTGGCACATCAAATATGTTTGTTTATGCATGACCTACAGGAGCCCTATTTTTTGGCTCTCAAGTGCATTCTTCGTTATGTTCATGGCTTTGTTGAATATGGGTTATAGGTATTTATGTCTCCTACCGAGGTCTTATTGTGTACTCTGATGCTGATTGGGCTGGATGTCCAACTACTAGACGCTTAACATCCTAATAGTGTGTTCTTGGGAAAAAAATATCATATATTGGTTATCTAAATGGCAATGTATTGTGTCCCATTCCAATGCTAAAGCTAAATACATGGGGTCTATTGTGATAACGTCAATGCTGTTTATATTAGGCCTGATAATTGGGTTGGGTTCGGGTTGGCGGGTCACAGGTTGGTGGATTGAAATTCAGAAACTCAACCCAACCCATATAATATATGGGTTGGCGGGTTGGAAACATCAACCCAACCCAACCCATATAACCCGTATAAATACATGGGTTGGCGGGTTCACGTGTCAGTGGGTCGAACCTAACCCGTATAACTCATTTAACAGGCAACACATTTTACGATGAAATTGAAAAATCCAAATAAAATGAAGTCTAAGAGTCATAAACATTAAACATAAATTCATAAACATCCAAAATAAACATTAAACATAAAGTCATAAACATCTAAATAAAACTCTAAAAATCAAAATATTCATGAAAAGTGCAATTGTTCAAACATAATGTACAATGTAGATTGTTACTTACCGTAAAGAGAAAGGAAGGTAGGTCGAAAACGTCAAAGCCGACAAGAGTGAGTGCGAACAACGATGAGCAGATGAGGAGTGGGTGAGGATCGGCCTGATGAGTGATTAAATCGTGAGTTCGTGACGTTGCTTCCTTCGAAGATCAATCCTTAACTCCTAAATCTTTATCCTTCGTTCAATCGTTCGTGAATGTGGAGACGGGAGCGGGTAAGGAACATTTTTTTTTTATTAGAGCATGCAAATACGTAATGGCTGGCTGCACAAGGACTCGACAATCAACACTCAAGGAGACAAGGTCAAAGATGGATGACGGGATCATGAGACACAAGCCCAAGAGTAGCCCACAACACAATGCCACATTTCCCAAACATATAGCTGATGATATACGAAATTACGAACGAATACCAAATTAAAATTTAAGGATATGATAAATAGAAACTAATAGTATAATATGATCTTAGATTGTTAAAAATTAAAATAAATAGATAGTTAAATATACTAGGCGGGTTGGCGGGTTGACTAGCGAACCCAAACAGATAACCCAACCTAACCCATTAAATAAATGGGTTGGCGGGTCGGAAATCTCAACCCTAACCCGCTTATTTTCGTATCGGGTTACGGGTTGGGTCGAGAGTTGTCACCCCTAGTTTATATGTATGCGAATCCGGTTCAACATCAACGCACTAAACACATAAAGATTGATCTTCACTTTGTCTGAGACAAAGTTGTTATTGATCAGGTTCATGTTCTCCATGTGCCTTCGTCCTCTCAATATGCAGATATCTTCACCAAGGGTCTTCAATCTCTTGTTTTTCTTGATTTCCAATCTAAATTGAACATTTGAGATCAATCAAACATTCCAAACGGAGAGAGATGTTCGTATAGTTTAAATATTTGTATTTGTTATTAGTATATTATGAGGCTATTATTCTCTTAATATGACGTAGTTGAAATATAATCACCCTTGTAACATTATTTATTGCTGTGATTAATGAAATGAAATCCCATGTGAAATTAATGATAGCACATCAAAAAATAACAATTTATTTATAATCATCATGATACTACATCAAACATTTTTTGAATGTATTATAAAGTATAAGCTATAGTATTTTTTTAATATTTATTTTTTTGGAAGTGATCATCTCTATATAAGGTTTTTTTATGAGTTTCATGTAATAGAGAGTTATAATGTGAGCTATAGTTATTATTCTTATTACTTTTTCAGACATAGATTTTTTGAGATTTTTAAAAGCTGTTAGCTATTAGTTTTTACGGAAAACTTGAAAAAAATAATTTTTTTGGTGTTATAACTTTTATTTTAAATAAAAACTCATAATTTAAAAATTACTTTAAATAACTTATAAACTTTTTTAATTTTAATCTAATTTTACACATTTAAAAAGTAATTGCTTTTTACAACACTCATCTACAATTAAAAAATATAAGTTTATATTTAGTTTCCAAAATAAAACACACCGAAAAAAGTGAATATGAATCTGGAAGATTAGGAAAAGGAGATTGAGTAACCATCTTGAAAAGCAATTCCGCAAAAGTCAAAGAATCACGAACCGAATCAATCAACATTGAAAGATGAAAAACAATGAAAATAACCCGGCCCAAATCGTTTGCATTTGCAGAGGTCCAGCCCACTATTCACAGAGAGGACGAAGTAGTTTTTACAAATCTTAGAGAGAGAAAGCTTAAGAGAGAGAAGATCGAGCTCGAAGAAGAACCAGAGCAAACATTTTAAACATTTGTATACACAAATCTACATACCGAAGAAACGCATGTATATTAGGCATGTATTATCTTGTGAGTGATTAGGGTTTCCAATTTCAAAAAAGGGCGAGTTCAATCATATGTTATCGTGTCCTGTATTTCTAGGGCAACAAATTCCTTTGATTTTTAAAAATTGGCGCAACTTATATCGAAGGCAAAGCGTAATAGGAGGGTTAAAAGTTTTGTAAGCTTGAAATTGTTGCAGAGCTCCTGGGAATTCAGGTATTTCTCGCAGAAACCCTAGAATTGGACGTAATGTTATGTGCTGTGTAAACCCTAGACCCGGGACTATATGGGATTTTCTTTTGGGGTTTATTGTAGGGCACTGAGTTTGTGATTATGCAATTGCAGTGCCATATTGGTGCAATTTGATTGAATGCATGCCTTAAACTTGATCAAATGCCAAGTGACTGAACTAGGGTTGTTCTGTTTTATCATTTTTATTTCGAGCACGGTGTGTTTTATAATGCTATTTGTCATTAAAGCCTCTCAAATGAGATTATGAATGTTTATAATAGATAGCTATTGCACATGGTCATGGAGTGTAGTGAACAATGGGGTTGCATTGGTTGGGGTTTGCAGATCACACATATAAATTGTGTTCATTTGAGTTTATTTAGGTCGTGGGTTAATATGACTAGTTAAGTGGAACTTCTTGATTGGATGTGACTAATCAATAAATATTCTTTTTTGGGTTAGCAAAACGATTTATGTTATGGTTATACTAATAATGACACAACATTTTAGAAATTTTCCTTGTTTGTTTGCTTTGTTCATCAACATCATTCAATGCTTGAAATGTTGGGCCCGTAGATACTGCATGTGAGGTCATTTATCTTTCTTTCCTCATGTGAAATCAATCACCAGATGAGATATAACTTCCTATTTTGGCTCCTTTACCTCTCACTTTCGTTAGGAACGCATGATTTGTTAATACAAACATATTCCACAATACATTAGTGATTAGCCTTCATCTGCTTAGGTCTTCCAAGACTCGAGTAATATATCATTAGCATTTTCCTTCTTTTTTTTTGTGTGTGAACATGTAATATCTGTATGGTCAATCTCTTCTCTCTTTCTCTCCCTGTATTTCTATTTAGTTCTTGAAATCAATGGGAGAGAAACGCTTCTAGGTTATTATAGTGGGAATGCATGGATGTGCTTCAGGATCTCTGCTTTTAGTCAATGCTGGGGTTGATTCCATGGGAGGAGTTATTGATGGTGGAGTTGAAATCTCTTCTGCACCATCTCCTCACCAGTCATCAGATCTCGAGAAAACACAAGCAGAGCTTAGGTAGAACCACTGTTCTTTGTGTTTGAAGGTGTTTTCTTTGATTTCCTTTTTCTTTCTTTCAATCAAGCTCACAGTTTATAAATATACTGCAGGGAGACATTCAGCGCAGCTGAAAAATATAGAAGAGAGTTAGAGTTTTTACAGAAGGTAGGGTAACTTTTTCATACATTGGTAGATTCTATTGTACGTTTGAAGCATTTTATCTTTAAGCATGTGAGAATTTGTTTTCTATTTGCAGGGTGGTGATCCATTAGACTTGAAAGTTGGAACTGCAGCATCAGTTAGCCTGCAGTCCACCTCGCTTACAGATCAACATCCTGAGCAATTTGTGACAAGGTTTATGTCTATCATTTAATGAGGCAATGGTTATTTTACTCATTTTCTGTAATATCATCATCATGATTAATAAACTTACTCTTTTCTTTCATGATCCCATAGTGAAGTAAAAGGCAGTTTTGCAATAACCGCTTCACCTCATGGAGATTCTGTTGAAAGCAGTGGCAGATTAGGGGCTCTTTCAGTTGTTGAACCCAATAGTGCTGATAATCTTATGTTATTTGATGGAAACAATAAGTTTCGTGAAGTTGAAAGAATACTCACCAAAGAATCTGGAGAATCTGTTGCACTTGAACTTCCTAAAAAATCATATAAGCGTAGGATTAGGTCTAGACCAAATCGCCATGCTTCAAGGGATACGAAGGGATTGGTGCATAATGTAGACAATCAGGAGCACAAGCATTTGTCAAATTCCAATTCTTCCAACCCTAAAAGTCCTAATGTTGGTTTGACCCTCAAGAATTTAGGTTCCAACAGTTGTTTAGACATAAAATCAAATGGTACACAGACCCAAATATCTGATACTCAAGAAATTCCACTTTCCATGTCCCCTGTAGAGCCTGGATCTGTAGGGCATATAGAGCAGGAGAAATTGTCAGGTTCTGAGCACCCTCCAGATGTGGATGCACACACAGTTGATGACCTGTCTTTATTGGGTCAAACAAAGGGTTTTGACTCCAAATCATCATGCTGCCAAACCGATCGAAGTTTAGATGGTAATAGTAAGAATGAAGTGCCAAGTAGTATACAAAATGTTACTTCTAATGGGACTATGGAACTTACTATAGCATCAAAGGAGGCACCATGCATGGAGGGTAGTGGTGTAAATACAGTGAAGGATGATAAGATACCGAGCATCAACAATGATAACAGTGAGATTGATCCTAGACTTAAGGAAGAGGAAGAAGGTTTGAAGGAATCTGAATCTGAATCTGCCTTGCAACATGAGTTGAAGAAGTCTGTTTGCTCTACAGGTATTGATTTAGATGGCTGCACTACTTCAGAAATAGAAAGAAATCCTCTAGGTACAGATTGCACCTCGCTTCAAGAGTCTACATTGTCCCTTAGGTGTTCAATTGATGATGCAGAGCAAAACGTGTGTTCTCAAAACAATTTGAAATTGGCAACAAAGGAACATGAAGACTCGATTTTAGAAGAGGCACGGATTATAGAGGTCTGATCTTCTTGTTCTCTTTGTTTTATGAAGTTATGGCCTTTGATCTGTATAATATACGAGTCTCCTTATTTGAGATTATTTGTAAACAGGAAAAACGTAAGAGGATAGCTGGATTAACAGCTGGAATATTTAAATCAGAGAGTAATCATACATCACATTGGCATTTTGTCCTTGAAGAAATGTCATGGCTTGCTAATGATTTTGCACAGGTATAATTTTGTTATTGATCTCTATTGTTGACCTTATGATGTATCTTCCTCCTTTACAGAAATGGATTATATTATTTAACTAATATGCATTTTCATTTTCTAACCCTTCATTTTTACAATATATAGTTTCTGGTTTGTTTTTTATATAGGAACGCCTTTGGAAGGTAACTGCAGCTGCTCAAATTTCTCAGAGAGCTGCTTATACTTCACGTGTTAGATTCCAACAGCAAAATTCTTCACGGATGCAAAAAAAAGTTGCTCATACTTTGGCAGAAGCTGTCATGGAGTTCTGGCACACACTGCAGGTGAATTAATAAGCTCTCAAATGATACTTTTTTTAGAAAAATCAAGTACTCTCATACTTTAGCAACCACTACAAACTGTCTGTGTGATTGATAGTAGTCCCAAAGTTTCTCAGCTTTGTCTTATTAATGTTACATTTTGACAGGTGAAATGCCATGGATTGGAGTTAGAGGGTGCTAAAAAAGATTCTATGGCTGGACTTGATCAGTATGGGATGAGATTCTTGGAGTATAATAGCTCCAATGCTCAGTACAACTCAGCTCAAGCGCCTGTAACTCCTGATAGGATATCTGATCTTGGCATCACAGACGTTTCATGGGAGGATAATTTGACAGAAGTATGCACATACATACCTTCACAGCTAACACATATTAGTATATTACACCACGCTTATGCAAGAAATAACAACATACTTTCATATAATTGTGCATTATTTGAAAAGTAGGATGCTATAATCAACAAATCAATGAAAGAACATTGCTATTTTTTGCATCTAACTTTTTTAGCTAATATGCCATTGCTACACAACCAATAACTACATTGGTAGAAACAAAGTCGAATGTTCTCTAGTGAAGGATTCTATTTCCTAGGGAAACAATGTTTTTCTGCTTTGCCTGTTTTTCCTTTCTCTTCTATTAAATATTAATATAATTAAGTGTTTTTGTACGCAGGAGAACCTATTTTATATAGTACCACCTGGTGCAGTTGAGGCCTATAGAAAAACTATTGAATCTCATTTGCTACAATCTGAGGTAAAAACATAGTGACTGACATGTCCTTGTATTATTTACAATCTTCCATTTTTTAGTAAACTGTCGCCCAAATGTATAGTCATGCGCCCCTTGATTTTTGGTCAAATGAAATCCGCTTTGTTATTATCGAAGGGCATTTTAGTTATTTGACTAATAGTCAAACACTCTATTAAACATTGTCTAATGATGTATGTTGCTCTTCTGTAGAGAACTGGCAGTAGCATGCAAGAGGAAGTGGATGTCAATGGGTATGATGATGTTGCAGGTATTATAAAATTTCGATGCAAGTTACATACATACCTCTTTATTTAGCAAATCAATCGAGTAAAACTCTAACCATATAGCCTTTATTTAAATCTCAAGATAATACACTTGAAGAGGATGAAGGAGAAACAAGTACATATTATCTGCCAGGGGCATTTGAAGGTAGCAGGATGTCAAAACCCACTCAGAAGAAAAGGAAACAGAGCCAACCCTTTAAGTCATATGTCGGAAGACCATATGAGACGGGGGCAGATTTGTCATTTCCACAATCCCTTGACAGAAATATTGGGACCCAACCTTCTGTGATAAGTGGGAAAAGACCTGCCACCAGTATTAATGTCTCAATTCCCACAAAACGTGTACGCACTGCTTCCAGGCCGAGGTTTACTGGAGCTTCGGGTTATAATAATAATAATAACAATAACAATCAGGCACCAAATAGAACGGATGCTTCAAGTGGTGATACCAATTCCTTTCAGGATGAACAAAGTTCTTTACATGGTGGGTATCAAATACCGAATAATATGGAAGCAGAATCAGTTGGAGACTATGAAAAGCAGCTGCACTTTGACATGACAGAAGTATCAAACAGACCCAAAAAGAAAAAGAAGGCAAAAAACCTAAATCCTCAAAATATTTCAATGAGATGACACTATTCACTCTTGACTTCTAATTTTATATATTATGGCAATTGCAGGGTTCCACATTTGACCACCGATGGCAGCTTGATTCTAATTTTCAGAATAATGAACAGGTGATTTCTATTGTTTTCTTTTAAGTTTGGAATCTCTTACTCTTATTCAGTATCTGAGATCTATAATCTTCTTGAATGTCCATTGAATTGCAGAAGGAGCACTCAAAGAGGAGGTTGGATGCACGTCAATTTGATTCAAATGGAAACAGTGGTATACCTCTTTCTCTTTGAATTTTTTGGTTCATTTTGAATAATGATTTGGTATCTTTCTTCATCTTAATTCGCATCGTATTAATTTGATTATTTTTTGTTTGTTCTTCAGTGGGTTCTCAGATGAGTAATATGTCCAACCCCAATAAGTTCATGAAATTACTTGTGCGTGATCGTGGTAGGAAAGCTAAATCGCTTAAGGTATTATCAGGTCATAAATCTTGAAAAAGTTGTTATGATGCTTTTTCTTGTGCTCTAATCTTTCTCTCTTTGCAGACCCCTGTAGGGCAGCAGCAAGGGTCAGGAAGTCCATGGTCATTATTTGAAGATCAGGTTACATTACTCTCAATTTTTTTCTTTTTTACAAAAAAAAAAAAGTAAAATCTGTTTGCAACTATGAATTATATATTTGAACCATATAAACAACTAACTGTTTATCACCTCAGGCCCTTGTTGTGCTGGTTCATGATATGGGTGCCAACTGGGAACTCATAAGTGATGCCATCAACAGCACTTTGCAATTTAAGGTGACTACTTTCTGGATGTATATATATTTCTTTTGTATTTTTGTTTACATATAGTTAAAATATTTATTAAAATTGTTTTTATGTTGAAGTGCATTTCTCGTAACTCCAAAGAATGCAAAGAGCGTCATAGAATATTAATGGATAGGAACTCGGGTGATGGTGCTGATAGTGCTGAGGATTCAGGCTCATCACAACCTTATCCTTCCACTTTGCCAGGCATTCCAGAGGCAATATTTTTATTTTTATATTTTATTTTTATTGGATTTTATGATTGTCATTGAGGTTGATGGTTGCTGGTATATGTGTATCTGACACAGGGAAGTGCAAGACAATTGTTTCAACGGTTGCAGGGACCCATGGAAGAAGACACACTCAAATCACATTTTGAAAAGATTATTGTGATTTCAAGAAAACTACATTATAAAAAGTCACAGGTGACTTTTTTTTTTTAGTTGTTGAGGGTTTTGAAAATCATCTACTTTTTTCTGATTCTTGTTTTCTGGCAAAGAAGGATAATCAGGATCCAAAACAACTCCAGCAACCTCATGGCTCTCATGCACTTGCTCTTTCTCAAGTCATCCCAAATAACCTGAATGGTGGACCTGTCCTCACGTAAGTTTAATGTTTGTTTGTTTGGATCAGTATCAGTATTATTAGTATGCCCTGCTTTTGTAAATGATCATAATCTGATACAAACCTCTTTTAATTATATATATATATATATATATATATATATATATATATATATATATATCTCATGTAGGCCACTTGATCTGTGTGAACCGATTTCATCCACCCCGGATTTTCTTCCTGTTAATTATCAAGCTCCTCATACGGGTGCATCAATGGTTCCTGGGTCAACCCCAAGCCCAAGCCCAAGCCCAAGCCCAAGCCCAGCAGCTACCTCAGTAGCCTCTTCTAATTTGGTGTTCAGCAGTCATTTATCCTCCACTCCATCTGGTCCAATCAGTCCCTCTGTTGGTGTTAGGGAAGGAAGATACGGGATCCCTAGACCAGGAATGGATGACCAGCATCGACTGCAACAATACAATCAAATGTTGTCTGCAAGGAACATGCAACCTTTGCCTCATTCCGATCGAGCTGTTCGTGGTATGTTGCCAGGTGTCATGAACAGAGGGATGATGATGACAAGACCACCCCAGCTTCAAGGCCTTAATAACTCCAACCCCCAATCCATTGGTCAACCAAACTCCCATATGATACGGGTGAGACTGGATTCTAGCATTTTGATTTGTTACTTGACTTTTTTTTTTTTTTTCAAACTTTGTGATGTTTTATTAAACAGATTCCTGATCATCAGAGGCAAATTATGGTACCAGATGCACAAGGTGGGACCACTCAGGGAATTCCCGCGTATCCAACTGGAATTGCTTCTTTCCCTCAACCACCTGTCCAGCCATACCCCCACATGCCAACTACCAATTCTCATCCACATCCACATCATCTTCAAGGACCACCACAAAATCCAGCTTTTGGAATGCGGTTGATGAAAGAGAGACAACTCCAGCAACAACGCTTGCGACAACAGCATTTTGCTGCCTCCAATCCTGTGACGCCACATGGACAACCACAGCTTCCAGTTTCCTCCCCTCAAAGTCAAAGTAGCAGCGCGCAATCCTCACCGGTGACTCAACAGCTGCAAAAACCAGCATCCGCTGGGCTTGTGCGTAACCCTCAGACTGGCAATACGGTGAAGCCGCAGCGGCGTCCGCCACAGCAGTTCCAACCACCTGGCGGCAGGCCACAGCTGGCGGCTAAAGTTGTGAAAGGAGCAGGAGTAGGAGGTGGAGGTGGAAGAGGAACAGCTGGCGATAATGGGTTTGTTGCAGAGAAAGGGGAGATGGTGCAAAGTGGACCATCTGGATTGAATCAGAAGAGATTACCTGGTCAACCTCAACCACAGCAAAAGGTGAAGCTGGGAATGGGGAGTCAAAGTCAACTAACAGCTGCGCAAAAGATTGTACTGCAGAATCGAAAAGCAAATCCTTCTGATTCAACTGCAAGCAAGCTGCAAGCTAGAGGAGCAACTCTGCCTTTGCCTTTGCCTTTAACCAAACCCAGCTCTCAGACACCTTGTGATGATTCTGGGGATCCAAATAGGAAGGTTGAATTTCAAACACCTGAAACCGAAACAACAACCAGTGCAAGTGCAGAACATACAGTTAACCTTAAACAACCATCTTCATCAGACAGCAGCCGTCTACATAGCTAAAGCTAATCACCTGCCCTGGCCCACTAATTTTAGATCAGGCCATTCAGATTGAGCCGGCTGCTGTTCACATGTAATATCAATGTACAGGTTTGTTTCACCTCACCTCACTTTTTTTTTTTTTTTTTTTTCCTGCAACTACATTGCAATATTGCATAGACACATGTTGGACTAATGAGACAGAAATTGCAATTTTTTGTCACGCTCAACCAAGAAGGTAGAACAAGTTGGGAAACTCTCTCTCTTGTCTGTGCAAATGACATGAATGCCCTTCTTATTCTCTCATGGAAAATAGACCTGAAGAGCTTTTCCAGTCCTGTCCCTTGTAACAAATGCATACAGACTAGGTGTTTGCTGTCTTTCTCTGTGTGTGTGTGTTCTTGTAACAAGGATGTTTATATGTAAGAAACCCTTATTTTCTACTTTGTGTTAGGTTGTGTTACTTAAGAAATACACACACACACACACATATATATATATATATATATATATATTATATATATATATATATATATATATATGATATAGCTTACCAGATTAAGGGGTTGTTTCTTTTTCTTTTTGACTCACTGAGCTTAGTCTAAAGTCTAGACAGCTAGCTATATATGGCTGTTCCTTTTTGATTTAATCTATACAGCATGACATAACAGATTAAACCAAAAAACCTGGTTTAATCTATATTCTGATGCCAACTTTTTACCTATTTGTTTTTCTACTTTTTTCCTCTCACGTTGAAATTGATGAATATTATTTGTTAGATTGTAAGGGTAAAATGGTGATTCAAATTTTGTATAACATATCTATCTCATTATGTGAGTGGTGATTCTTAATCTTGGTTGCAGATGACGTTCATAGTTGCATTCCATCAGGCGGTTAGTAGGAAGATGAAAACAGGCTGCAATATTGTTTTCGATTCAAATTTGAAAGTAGAGGGGGTTAACCAGAGTAATGTTGGCAGGGGTAATTGTGGAATTTTGTATATAGGATCTCTCAGTCTCAGTCTTTGATGAGAGGCACGCCATGGAGAGGGATGGAGAAAGATATAGAGGTATGTGTGTACATAGTTTCTTCCCATCTCTCGTTTCCTATGTTAAAAGATTTTGTTTATTTCTCTCATATTTTTGGAACCCATTGTATTAACTAATGCCCCTTTAGTAGTAGCAGTAGTAATAGTAGTAGGGGTATAGTTGTCATTGTTGTTGGCCAAACCAAACCAAAGCAAAGCCTAAGCCTGAGGTGGGGGAATTTTGTAAATACTGCTAGTCGGTCGTTTTAGTGTGTAAATGCATGCAGATCAATGTTGTGTTACATTACATGAGATCTTTGTTGCTGTAACTTGTTGTTTACAATTTCACTTTTTTCCACATGATGATGATGATGAAATAGTAACAGTTAGGGGAGGGTTTTATTTTTATTTTTGACAATTTGATTATCAACAGGAACAAGGTTGTCTTGTATGTGTTATTTCATCAAATTGCAGAAAATAGCAACCTACTTGAAACTTAAAAAAGCTTACCAGTGTTAAAACTATGGATAAAAATGTAAGTACGTTGTTATTTGGGTAATGAGGCGAGGTCAAATTAGGATTTTTTTTTTCCTGAGAACCATTTGAGTGTATTGGATAAAAAAAAAGGTTGTGATTGAGAGTGACTTTTTTGCTATAATTTGTAAATTTAATGCTAATTGATTTAATTAGTGGTTTGACACGAGGCCACGAGGGTAAAGCTGTCAAAATGCAAGAGTTTATTTTAAGAAACATGGTTGTCAAGTATTATGTATTAGGAGTTCCATTCCACGTAATGAAGCGGAAACATTGTGCATGTACAACAAAAAAGACTATTTAAAGTAGTATTAATAAGTTTAATTACATAAAAAGGTGTACCCGTGGTTTGTTAACTGAAACGTGTAAAGAAGTATCGAATTATATAAAAACATTAGAAAACAAAGCTATAAAAAATTCGTAAAAGGTTTTGGCAACATCATAAATTTCTTTTGGGAAAAGTGTTTTCTTTATAGAATAAAAGTAAATATATTAAAGCAACTATGTTTATTAAAAAAAACATCTAAAACAAAGTTATAAAAAAATGCGATCTAACTTTGTTAAAAAGTTTGCAATTTACAATTTTGGGTAAATCGTAGGGATCAGACTTTTAATTTACTCTTATAACTACAAACAATCAGCAAGACGCCATCTTGCTAATTACTAAGAATTAAGACAACATTTGAATAAATAATATATCTTCCAATTGGGTCTGTAGGTTCTTGAAAATGGACATAATTGTTACTCTTACTCGGAATTGTTGTTCCATATGGTTAGGAAACTACAAGGTTTTTGCGTCTTTGTCTAGGTATGATCATGGTCAGAAACTTCAATCACGGCATGCTAATGGTGCCAAGTTTGAAGATGGAAAAGATAATTATGTTGGATACCAAGATAACAATTGTATCTAAAAAACTTATGCCAAAGTAGATTCGTAATGATTGTGTGTGTTTGCTCTTTTTTTTTTTTTTTTGGGAACAGAAAAAACTTCAATAAAACTAGCAAAAAACTAGAAAAAGAGAACAATTACAAAATATCAACTATAGGGTTTTGCAAACATCCAACCCCCAATTAATCAAGGTCCTACGTCTATTCCCCCCCCCCCCCCCCCCCCCCCCCCACACACACACACACACACCCACCCACACAAAAAAAAAATTGAGAAACAATGAGATCAACAAAGTAGATTTCTTTTGACTATGTCTGCCAAACAACAAATCATTCCGAAAACGCCAAATATACCACCAAGTCACCAAAAAAACACCTTCTAGGACCTCCTTAGCCTTCTTTCATATCCGTAAAGCATCAAACCAGGACAACCATTCTGCATAGGACATAAGAATCGGGATCGGGATATCCCACCACCTTAACACCCGAGATATCAGATTCGAGGCTATGTGACAAGAGAAAAAAAAATATGTGAAGCCGATTCAATACCATTGTCGCAAAGGGAACACATAATATTAGCCTATTAGGAACATCAATACCCTTCCTAGATAAATTAGATCGAGTCGGAAGACAATCAAGGGCTAATCTCCAACCAAAGATTTTAATCTTTATAGACACCAATCTCACCCATCTAGTTATGCATTAAGACATTGTGCTTGAACTTCCTTGGGAAATCATTACGATTTTTATGGATGGTATTCCTTTTGTCATGCGAGTCTTCAAAGTATCAGGATGGATACAAAATCATGCAAAATTAAGAGGTGGGTAGAACATTTTATGAACTTTCTCTTGAAGAAGATGGTAGCAAAAATAATAATGATAGAATTAGAAATGACTTATCGGATGCCGTTCCAGATACGTTTGTTAAGTAATAAAAATGGATATTCAGAAAACAAAATGAAGTTATAGAATAGGAGGTTGAAGTACAATCAAAGCAAGTGTAATAGGCGCATGGGAGGACTCGATTCTGATTTTTTTCTAGGAAGAAGGTAGAAGTAGGGTTCATTGGGAAGTCTATGACGATGCATCCTCATATAGACTATGTGAATTAATCCTTCAAAATTTAATTTACAAAATATTTTTATAAGAAAAGCATTGATTAAGAAATCTTTTATGGATAAAGGCTTGAAAGGTAAAATATAAAAATTATGTAAATGTCAAACAAATTCATCATAGAAGAAGGTAAAATAAACAACCTACATAAATTTAAGAAATCTTTTGTTGATAAAACGACATCACTTGATATATATTTTTATAAAAAGAGCATTAGTTAAGAAATCTTTTGCGAATAATTATATGAAAATATTTGAATGACAAGTCATATGTAAGTGGAACAAATTAATCATACAAAAAAATAAAGCAACAACTTACATAAATTTAATTCTAAAAAATTATGTTCTAACTATCCAAAAGCTAAATTCATTTTTTGTCTTTATTAAACCTCCCGATCTGAATACATGTCCAAATGCATAGGTTAGACTTGGAAAGCTTAATGAGTATCACCAAGGTTCAATATTGGTTAAGTTCAAGAAATTGTCACATTCGTTGAACAATTTAAACCCCCAAAACATTTTAAATCATCATAAAGGCTCACAGGGTCATTTCAAAGTTTGGAAATGGGTTAGGACGGTACCCTCGGTATCGTTCCCAGATGACGATTTGTTCATATGATTTAGCGGTTTGGATGAATTGTTTGCTTCTATCGGGTTCACCGATCTGTGAATTAAATGCTTTAACTATTCCTTGATTATTCAACATTTTCTTTGACTATTCATTGCATGCAAGATTCCTACCAACTTTAATTTGATTTATTGCATCTAACTAGCTTTTAAACAATATTCACCAACCCATGAGTATTTATTTATTTATTTTTGCTTTCTTTTTATAAGTTTATGATGAATACAAAATTTACTTATTTGTAGTGTGATTTGTTTGGAAATATTATACAAACTGGTTCAATTCCTCCAATTACCTTCAATGAATTCCTGAGGCAAAGGTAAACAAATCGGTTCTAACCAAAGACGCAAATCCACGCAAGGCGGTTCAAGTCAAAATATTCTATTTTCTTCTCCAACCTTTCAAAACCGAAATCCAAACTATCAACAATAGCAAAATTACCAACAAAACCAAAACTACCATCAAAACCAAAACTATCCACAACAATATTACCCGATGCAACAATCTTACAACACATTTACGATTTCAGAGGAAAATCTGAGTTATAATCTATGTAATCAGTTTTCTCAAAGGGTTTCAGAAACTCAATTCCAATCTTCCCAACCCAAGCATTTCCAGTTCCGTGATTCTCAGAATGTAGAATCTAAGAGTTCTAGTGACGATCGATTCTCGAAAGAAACAAAGAAGAAACTAACGAGGAGTTGCAACCTTTTGTCGAGAAAAAATGCACCTTTACAAACCGCCAGAAGTCAAAGAAATGGGTGGAACGCGAAGAGTTTGCTTTGATTAGGGCATATGTTGATTGTTCTCAAGATAAACAGCGTGGAAACCAACGACGGTTCGATGCATTTTGAGATCGGGTTCTAGAGCGTTTTAATGTTCAAATTGGAGATAAACAACGTGGAAACCAACGACGGTTCGATGCATTTTGAGATAAACAGCGTGGAAACCAATGACTAGTTAATTTTAATTATCGTTTTAGGATTTTAATTATTTTGTCTTTTTGAAGTGTTTTTTTAATTATCATGTATTTTTTCTATTTGTAGTGTGGTTTTTTAATTAATGTTATTTTTAATATTATTTTAGATTTTTTTTTTGTTTTAAATTAGCAAAGATTTTTTTTTAAATAAAAAATGCTATATTTTATTTTATTTTATATTTTTTAATTTAATTAAATGATGTGGCAAGTGGGTTGGGAAATATATGATTTCTATGTGTTGTGGGTTGGGAAAGATGAAAGTGAGAGAATAGAAAAAAACTCATGTGGTAATGGGTTGAGAGGATTGAAAGGGAAAGATTCCATCCTCCCTAAAAGAATAGATAAACATCACATCTGAAAAAGAAACATATCATTGCAAAATATCACTAAAATATCAACAATATATCAACATATACATAATGTAATGCTTTATATATATGGACACTAAGTAACTAGGATAATATGAATATCACATCAGATCAGTACAAAAGGTAGCTAGCCTCACATGCACCAGGGCCGACTCAATCAGTTTAGGGCTCTAATCGAATAAAAAATTTAGGGTCTTTTGACATTTAGTATATTTAATGTTATAAACCCTGATCCTTTATCCGGGTTTGAGACCGACAATAATAAATAAAAAATTTACAAATGACGGGTTATTATTTTTATTATTTTTATTGTATATGTTTGTTGTGAATATATTTTATGACATAAAGTTAATTTTTTAAGCATTTTTAGATGCAAATTCTTTAATGAAAATTTTATTAACTGTTTTTCAGACAAAATAGCTAATCCATTTAATCTTTCTTGTGACATTGTAGATTTAAAAAAAAAATTAACAGTTTTAATTTAGAAAAACTTCTTTCTGCAGAGACAACGGTTACATGAATAGTTAACATAATCGTATAGGCAAGATATGCATTTGGAAAGAACCAAACTTTTTAATGTAATTAAGTATAGTAATAATTATATCATCTTCTAAATGTACAATGTCTTGTAAAAGTTTTAGCTCATGAAATAAATTTAAACCTTCAATATTTAAGCTATCATCATGCTATAAAGATTTTTCAAGATTTAAACAATATTCTTTTAAAGTATTTTCATCAAATGATTTTAATTTTTCTATACTAAATAGAATACCAAAAATATTTTTGAACTCGTTAAATTTCTCAAATCTACTTTTTAAGTCAAGTAATGACTTTAAATACTATATATAAAATGTAATCACTTTTAAATAATTGAAGATGAGTTTTAATAGTTTCATTAGCAACATTTTCCTCATATCGTCTGTTTCTTTGAATGATACGTTTTTCAGGAAATTTAGGTTTTACGTTCATTTCTAAAGCTAATTCTCTTGTATAGTCTAAAGCCTTTTCAAATCCGTTTTCTCTATATTCTTCAAAGAAATACAAAAGTCCATTTAGTTGATCTATAACATCATTGATACACATATCACTTGATTGCAAGCTTTTACTATCAATTTCAATAGCAAACAAAATATCGTACTAAATAATCATTCCTAATAAAAATTCATAGTTTTTAAGTTGATACGTAGCTATACATTTAGTTCCACTTTTAATTTTTGGATTTCCACAATTTTTGGATAATTGTAAAAGTGTTTTTCTTAATTGTGGTGCTTGAAATCTAATTGCTTTTATACTTTCTACCCTACTTTCCCAATGATTTTGTAATAATGATTTAAGTGTTAGGTTTGATATATTATCTTGTAATATTTTCCACCTTTGAGTTAATGACGCAAATATCGAATATATATGTGGTATAACTCCAAAAAATTCACTAGCTTTATCACACGAATTAGTCATATTACAAATTGCTAAATTTAAACTATGACAATCACAATGAGTATAGAATGCTCTAGGGTTAATATCTAACAATCATTTCTGTACACCTTGATGTATTCCTTTCATATTTGAACCATTGTTGTAACTTTGACCCTAACATCATTTATATCTAGTCCTATATTTTTAATTTCATCAACTATAGCATCATATAAGCATTTACCGGTTGTATTATCTACAATTAAAAATCCTAGAAAGTATTTCTTAACTTCTATTGGAATTGTTGATAGATCTAAACATCGTAAGATAATTGACATTTGTTCATTATGACTTGTATCATGAGTACAATCAAGTATTATTAAAAAATATTTAGCCCTTTTTTTTTTTTTTTTTTTAATAATTTTAGTTTTAACTTCTTCACCTAATAAACCAATAAGTTCATTTTGCATAGTATGTCCAAGATAATGATTATGAATTTCTTTGTCATTAATTCTCCTAATATATTCTTGTATAATAAGATCAATTTCGGCAATCATTTCAATTATAGTTTAAAAGTTACCATTATTTTCTTCATAAAAATTTTCATTTGTTCCATGTAATGTTGAATTATTTTTTCCTAAAGTTTTTACTACAACAATGATTCTTTTTAACACATTTTTCCAATGTTCTTTTTCTTTATTTATTTGTTCTTGGATTTACTTGTTAATTGTTTTATTAGTTGCTAATCTAGTTTGTAAGTCAATCCATGACCTCATATTAAGAATATGTCCGTTAGTTGCTTCATGTCCTTTTAGTATAGAAATATTGTTCCAATTACTGTTATCTTTATGTGCTAGTGAACATGTAGATTTATTCACATTAAATAATTTACAACAAAAAACAAAAAACTCTATCTACATCTATGGAATAAACCAAAAATATTCATTCGTATTTTTCTCCATGTGATATTGTTTGCATATAAAGAGATGTACTAAAACTTCTTAAATGTTAATCTTTTGGAAAATTAAAATCATAAATCTTAATAGGCCTTTTTTCTATGATTCCATCTACTTGGATCATGTATGTTTAAATGCTTGTTATCCTTTTTAATATTAGTTTGTTCATTATCAATATCGGTATTAGTTTGTTCGTTATCATTATCAATATTAGTTTGTTTGTTATCATTTTCACTATTAGTTTGTTTATTATCAATATCAATATTAGTTTGTTCGTTATTATTTTCAGTATTAGTTTGTTCGTTATCGATTTCAATATTAATATGTTCATTATCATTTTCGATATTAGTTTGTTCATGATCATTATTATCAATATTAGTGTGTTCTTGTTCATTATCAACATTAGTTTGTTCTTGTTCATTATCAACATTTTTGTTTGTAGTTAAAAAAAATTAAAATGATCTTTTTTGTGATTCTATAAAAGCTTCTTATTGCATTTTTCTTTTCCTTTTTAAAGCCCCTGATTCGTATTTTCTCTTTGATATGATTATTAAGTATTTTATTATTAATAACAATGAACAATCACCAAGACAACTACTATAAGTATAGAATATATGGATTAGAATTATACCACCCTTGAGATAATGGAAAGCTCAAATCTGGAAAACTGAAAACTCAAATTCATTCCAACCTGATATCTGTTGTAATCAATGAACAATAGAACAAAAAAATCATATAACATAACAAATAAGAAACTTGATTCCAAATTCCAAAATCCAACTTGACACAGTCAATATTAAAAAAAAAATTAAGCCCCATTAACCCTAATAAAAAAAATTTATTTCTTTTTTTGTGAAGAAAATAGAAAATATTTTTAGCATTACTACAGAATCAAAAATAAATTACAACATATTGTATATTAAACAAATCTAACTTCATCAAAATAACTATACTGTATTTTGTATTTATTTGGTGTAGTGCATCAAACAAATCAAAATAACAAAAATTAACATAGATAATAGATTATCAACTTTCACAAATTGACAAACCACAATCATAGATAATCAGAGGAAAAATCGAAGAAGAACAAGAATGGAAGAAGAACTTACTTTTCAAAATTCATGCATCAACAAATCAATTGAGTTCTTGAGTCTTAACACCTGATAGCATTTCCGAAAGAAGAATTAAGTCAATCAACAATGGAGGTAACCATTTTTTTTTCTGATTTTTGAACAATCAAAAAATCAGATTGAAGAATAAGATCAATTAATCAGATTCAAACGACAGAGAAAGAAGAAGAATTGAAGAATAATCATTGAGTCTGTGAGTCGCATTCAATATATAGTGTAGATCGTTTGGTTAAATGGTTTCTGCAGCCTATGTGTGTGATTTACGAATGGAAATTGAAGAATTTTAATTGTCACTTAATTATGCCCTAATTGAGCTTTGAGTTAAGTGAGACCTCTTAGAAGTGGGGACCCTAAGCAATGGCTTAATTACTTACACACTAAGGCTGACCGTGCGTGCAAGCGAGACATATTTACAATACTATCATTTCACCATAACATAGGTACCCTTAACGAAAATGTTCACATAAGTCATCTTCCCATCCTAAGTGAATGCACAAGTTCATGAAGAAAGTATAATGCAAAACATAGTTGTTCTTATTTTTAAGAAATTCATTTCAAAAATAAGTTTCATGAAAGTCCGCGCACAATCTTATTTATAATATTCACATAACATAGATAAGAAATATATTCATCAAATCATCAAACAAGATAAGGACATGTATTCTTGGTAATAACTCACCTTGGAAAGAGTAAGCATACTATTTCATTGATAAATTCACGACATGTATTCTTGGCAATAACTCACCTTGGAAAGAGTAATCACTTCATTTCTCTTCTAGTGTTTTTGGACACTTAGTGTTCGACGAAGATTACCAATAATTCAAGTAATAATTATTAATCACATTCATTTCATCCTAATTCAATTTACTCCTTTTAAACACTTATTTTATACCTTTGAATATCTTATTTTATACATTGCATAACATTATTTAAGTACTAGAGG